GCTTTTCTTTAAGTAAAAGTTGAATGAATTTACTAGCGCATGACCTCAGAAAGAATGATGTTTTATAAAGATAATCACCTTTACTGGCCAAGTATGTTACACACAAGGAATTTGTTTCCGGTACAGAACCGATAGCAGCCATCTGTGGCGCCACCTCAACCGATGGCTCTAACCATCGGGGGTAATGGGGGGTTCCGTGTCTTGCCCAAGGACACTTCGACGTGGACTGCAAGCACCAAGATTCGAACCTTCAACCCTCCAGTTGGGAGACAACTGCTCTACCCTCATGGTTCATGGTTCTGCCTTGATCACACTTTACCTTTATACTATTTTTCAAGTTAATTCAGTATGTAATCACATAATAAGAGTAAAGATAATCACCTTTACTGGCCAAGTATGTTACACACAAGGAATTTGTTTCCGGTACAGAACCGATAGCAGCCATCTGTGGCGCCACCTCAACCGATGGCTCTAACCATCGGGGGTAATGGGGGGTTCAGTGTCTTGCCCAAGGACACTTCGACACGTGGACTGCAGGCACCGAGATTCAAACCTTCAACCTTCTGGTTGGGAGACGACTGCTCTACCCACTGAACTACTGTTGCTTTATTCTCATATATCCAGTGATCACCAGTTATTTAAAAAACACTTTAACCTAACCAATCTAATGGATGATGGTACGAATGTCTGGAAGGAATGATTTGGAAGCCATAAGGACAGAACCTGAAAGCAGTGTTGACCTGATAAAGCACATGTCACCGAATCATATTTCACTTTATCCTTTCATAAGTTGTATTAAATAAGCTTCTGTTATTTGGACAATGTGTTAGCTAATTTATGTAGGTATTGTAAAAACTCTGAATGTTAAAAACTTGTTACTCTAACTTAGTATAAGTAAGAAGCCTCACTGTCATCATCTGCCCTCCAGCTCCCCTGCATGTCGTACTCCTGTTCCAGGGTCAGTGGCTCTGAGGCGGTCAGCTGCTGCAGCTCAGGACACTTCATCCATTCATGATACCTGAAGAGTGTAAACAGGTGGGTAAGACACAGGGACTGGAGGTTTCTACAGCTTTAACGTAATCATGTATCCAGATGTCAAAGGACTGGAGCTGGTTCTGCTGTGCCAGTTAAAGAGACTTCAAACTGTCAAAGGATCAAAAGCTTGTTTTGACAGCTGGGTCAGATGTGTCATCTGTCCTAAGTTATTTCTTCACCTTGTGCCAGCCTGGACAAAAAGCTTTCAAATGCTCCATGACAAATGAGACTGTATGATATGATCGAAAGCTCCAGAAAGGCTACTATATGGAACCTGTGATGAGATTGTTTTCTCAACATTATTATTAGTATTAGCTAGACTTATTTAGAAGTCAAAATAAAAACCAATCCAACATGTTTAAACAGTGATAGTAAAGAAAGGCCATTCAAACACTCATCACTAAAGATATCAGCAGAGGAAAATAAAAGAGACAAACAGAGAATAACCAGCCTACACATTGGGCCCTACAGACAGAAAGGCTGCACGGTGAAGGCTTCGCGTTTGTAACGAGACTGATCAGGTGTTAATGTTAACGTTACCTGGGCACGTGGTTTGCATTGTAAGGAACTAACACAGCTTGGTTTCCCTCCAGTAGCGTGTTCTCGTTTATCCTCATGGTGCCAAACCAGACACAAACACCAATAGGGCCGATTATAACAATAAACTAAATTCAACCCTTTATGTCCCATTAATATATTCTAACAGCTGGATACTGAATCACAAGATGGAGACCGTTCTTCCCATGGATATATCAGTCGAGACAGGCTGTTGAGAGCTCCAACATCCATTGCCTTAATACGGTTGTAACTGAGGTCCAGTTTCCTCAGCTTTTCAAAATCACCCAGTGAGGTAGAGTCCAAGTACTGTAGCAGGTTGCGGTCCAGGTGGAGCAGCAGGAGGGCGCTGAGGTGCTAAGAGAAGTCCCCAGGGAGCCAATGCAACTGGTTAAAACTCAGGACCAGCCAGAAACTGCGCTGATGACAGAAACTGAAATGCAGAAAAGGAGAAAAACAGACATCACTCGGAACCGATTTGCATCTGCTGCTTTTCATCATTTTATACAGTGGTAATTCTTTGGTTTTGAACAAAATGAGCAATTTGAAGACACTTTGGGCTCTGAGAACATGTGCAGGCATTATCTTATTAGACATCTTATAAACATTTAATAAAATCTAAATAAAAATATTTGTTGGAGCCCTATTTCACAGCTTTGGTCAAGACTAAAATATATATATATATATATCTATATATACTACCAGTATATAAAGCAGTTAAGTATTAAATTATTTCTACCTTCACCAGCACCAACATTAAAATGCTGTTTACACATTAATGCACCAATAACGAAAATGATCTGCAATAACAACCGGTGATATTAGATGCAGACTATGCACAATAAAGCACCGTTTCCAGTTGTGGTACCTGTGGCTGCAGCCTCCAGATGCTGTTATTAGACATCAGGAGGATCTTGAGAGGCCACTGCCCTTTGAAGGATCTGCTGGGTACTTCTGTCAGCTTGTTCCTGCAGCCAGGTGCCATGGGAGACCCTGGGAGGGGCCTGCACCAGTTCAGGGTCCAAGGAGTCGTAGCACAGGCAAGGGCTGGGAGACAGCTTGAAGCCCAGCACGGTGTTGAGAGTTGGAGGCGTCACAACAAGCACCGTGTAGCCGCTGGCAGGCATTTTCTGTTTAAACCAAAGGCTGCTCACTCCTGCTGGTTACCCTCTTGTATGCATTTTTTTCTACAGTGATACATGTGGAAACCACAACCCTAATTCAGTGACATTTCACTAAACTCTGAGCGCTGAATGTTCCTGATTAGAGGCTTAAACAGGTCATCAGAAAACATTTCATATCAAGGAAACAAGCCTGGTCTGGTTTGGATCCTCTCCTATAATCAGGATTTACATCTGTTACTGTATATGGATACATGAAGCTGTTTTTCTGATAGCTGTTGCTTTATCCTGAAATTTCTACATCACATTACATAAAGACTGATTTTTCATAACTACATATTTAACTTGGTGAAAAATCAGCTTGTTCCCTATTACAATGAAGATTAAACTGGTCTTACTCAAGTTACACATGAAAGACTGGTCCAATACAGTAACCATGACCATCATTTGTAAACTAAATTCACCATTTATAATGTAAAAAGCACAAGTCGTTCAAAACCTTCTTTGCAGCACTGAGGAGTGTTCTAGTATCACTGTTACACCACTAGAAAAATCCCCTGGAAACAGCTTCTCAAATATCAATATTAAATAGTTTTCTCTCTCTTAAATGCCAATAAACTATATATTTTTAGATTATGCCCCATCAGTCTACTTGTACTGGGAATGAGGACTGGCATTTTTCACAGTTTTCTGACCAAACAATTCACCAAATAATCAAGACACTAATCCGCAGATCAACCTATAACAACTAGTTAGCCACAGTGCTAAAAGAAGCACACACGTTTTTGGTGATCATGGTTCTATAATCCAACATCTGACCTGAAATTTAGCTGCACTTCTACTCAAATGCACAAAAATCGGTGCTCTTCTCAAATATTTTCCACATTAGAGTCCAGATGCATTTACTGAATTAAGTTAGTTTAAAGACTCTACTTCGCTCTGTCACCCAGAGGAAATGTCGCACAGCTTTAGACACACCAGAGGCTTCAGACATCTAAATATTAACAGTGATGCTTTAGTTCCTTGTAATTACATGAATGCATCACAAACAACCTCTGAAAACAACTTGGGCACTGCACATAAAAAAATGTGTTCAAAAATGTAGACAATGTGCCAGCCAGTGCCTCGAATCCAGCCTTTTATGCACCGCACAGTTGTGTCTCAGCGTTGGAACAGAGAAAGTGTTGGCATGATCTGTCAATTAAACCAGTCTCCCTTCAAAAATTGTTGAAAATTACAGTCAGAATTTGTTACTTTTATTTTAGAAAATGTCCTTTAAAGTGTGGCGTTTCAAGTCACATTTTGTTTAAAATGCAGAAAATACAGACAGTAGAACATGGATACAGCAAAAAAGGAAACTGACAGAAAATAAAGCTAACAAGCCTTTCTGACTGCTCTAGTTTTCTCTTTTTGAAAAGGAGCTGAAGACAAAGGAAGGAGGGCAGAAAAAGAAAAGCTTCGGGGACAGGAGGGGAGGAGTGGGAGCAGGAAAAGTTAGTTAAGGAAATTAGGGCCTGCTTTATGGTTCATGTTTAAATTATTTTTCTTATAAAGTCTAATTTAAGATTTAATCTTCCTCTTTCTTTTTTGTCTTTTTCAGTTAATGGTATTTTGATCTTGTGGATCCAGGGCCCTCAGTGCTCCTCCTT